ATCAATTATATTCTATAAAGATTAATATAAAAAAAGCTTTAATACTTATGCGTATTAAATATATTTAAAGCGTATTTATTAGTCTGTATATATTTTATGAATGGTTTCACATATTATGTCATTTTGATAATTTATCACGATACGTTGGAAAATATATGAAATAAAGATAGAAAAGACTGAAGAATATAATAGAATTATAGCGCGATATCTCCAAATTGGCGGATTTCTAAAAAAAATTCAAAAATTTATTAGGAAAGAACCCTTTTCTATCGGTTATCGCCAAATTCAATACCAACCTTCCTTTAATGATACTCTATATAAAATTATATGTATAACTTATACATTTTTCAAGCAGAAATCAATAAGACAAAAATTAGAAATCGGTAAGTCAAAAATCGGAAACTCTTTCACCGATTCTCGCCAAATACATGTATAACTTATACACTTTTCATGCAGAAATCGGTTAGGCAAAAATCGGAAACCCTTTCACCGATTCTCACCAAATTCAATACCAACCTACCTTTAATATATTCTATCCATAAAAAATAATTGTGGAAATTAGAGCAATCACATAGATTTTTTTAAACAGAAATCGGTAACTCCTTTATTATTAGCAATTTTTTGAATTCTATTATATTCCTCAGTTTTTCTACCCCTATTTCATATATAATACTTTAAAATTTGGTTGATTAGGAAAATCTAAACAGGAAAAGTCATTAAGTACGACTCTTTTAAAGAATTTAAAATTTTATATATCCCAAATTTTTTTTGAAATCAGGTTGTAGCACAATGGTACATAGCCTATGTTACTCAGGAGGACATAAGCTATCTACCAGTGTAAAAATTATTGGAATCAATTCAGTAGTTTCGAAGATTACCCCGAACAATAGTACAAACTGTTCCCCTTTATATAATACTAGCTGGTTACCCGGGCTTCGCCCGGGAGTCGTTTTTCTTGAAACGACTTCATTTGTGTTTCAATATCCTTATTGTGGACAAACATAAGGTGTGCTCGGGGGGCGGTAAAGCCGTACCCGGATTTGCGATAAAGCGAAGCTCGAAGGACCAGGGGAGATGTGTAAAGTCTCCCCAAAGCGAAAGTTAAGTTAAGCAAATGCGACTCACCGTTCGTTGTGCCGTCGACTCCTGGAGGCTTCGTCTCGGTCGCGATCGGGCTCGTGCAGCAACGCAGGCAGGGCAGCAAGCAAGGCGAAAGCGAGGCAGGCAGCAGTAAGTTAAGGCAGGCAGCAAGCAAGCAGGAGGAAGCAGGTAAAGGTAGCACACAGACAGGCCGAGAAAGTAGGCGATCGCACTATCCGGGAGCGAGCGGATGATCTCGCGACTCCGGATATTAGCGCAAGTCTCCCTGCTCCGATAATCTCTCTGTGCTCCGTTAATCTCTCTGTGCTCCGAGACGTCGTAACGATGAGCCGGCGTAACGATGAGTGCTGAGGGCTCGCGGCGCTGGAACAGTGTCGCGAGCGAGTACTTGTTCTGCAGGCGGGTGCCCTCGTGGGGTGAGCGAGGGCAGCACCGATTGGTGAGTCGCGCAATTATCGATTCCGCGTTGATCGCGATCCGCCGACGTTTCGCGCGAGTCACCGAAATACTTAAGACTAGGTACGCAAGAATTATTATGTACGACGAGTAACGAGACTAAACAATACATGCATCTAACTACAGTTTGGTGCGCGCCAAACAAGGTGTGTGTCGGTTGATTTAAAGACGGTAGTTTAACTTTCCTGCATGAATAACACATTCTAGGTGCTTAGGTTTTAAACTTTTTTACTTGACAATGATTACATATTACATCCATTTTCCCAATTATTACACTCGGATGAAATTGATATTCGTAATTTAAATAATAACTAAATGCCTCTAATTTCAAATTGGACCGCATAAATGTTTTCGTGGATTAAACATGTCGTAACCGGTCTTTTTCTACTCGAGTTTCACACTATTGAGTCAATTCCGCTTTTCCAATATTTCACTTACCGATCAGCGACATCATCCCTTGGTTTACCCGGGCGTGTTTTCGGGAATTTTGAGATTGCTCGTTCGCGATGTATACAGAACCTCGATATTTCACTTACCGATTACCGATTTACCGATTACCGATTTTATTCCTTGGTTTTTTAATTGAAAAATCGAGGTTCTGTGTACATCGCAAGCGAGCAATCTCAAAATTCCCGAAAAAACGCCTGGGTAAACAATTCTCAATTCTCAATTCTCAATTCTCAATTCTCAATATTTAATATAAAATTTAGAAATATCAGTATCCGTTATTAAATCCCGATATATAACTTACACAATTTTTAAGCAAAAATCGGCAACCCTTTTACCGATTCTCGCTAAATTCAATATAATAATATTCTATCCATAAAAAAAAATTTAGCTCAAAATCTCAAAATTTGCAGAAATCAGAACAATTACGTAGATTTTTTTTAGACAGAAATTGGTAACCCTTTTATTAGGAAATTCTACCCCTGTTTTATATACAATTATTAAGATTCGGTCAATTATTTCCCAAAAAATTGGAAAAATTTCGGATACCGGTTCCAATAAAGATCGGTAAAGAAAAACTATACAGTTTATAGCACTCCCCGGGAAATTCTACCCCTGTTTTATATACAATTCTTTAAGATTCGGTCAATTATTTCCCAAAAAATTGGAAAAATTTCGGATACCGGTTCCAAAAAAGATCGGTAACAAAAAATTATACACTTCATATCACTCCCCGGAAAATTCTACCACTGTTTCATATATAATTCTTTAAGGTTCCATCAATTATTTCCCGAAAAATTGAAGAAATTAGAAAAACCGGTTTCCAGAAGATCGGTAACGAAAAACTATACACCCTATAGCACTCCCCGGGAAATTCTACCCCTACTTCATATACAATACTTTCAAAATCGGTCCAATAGTTTCTAAGATTACTCCGAACAACAGTACAAACTTTTCCCCTTTATATAATAGTAGAGATATATAATAGTAGAGATAGAAAAGTAGATTAATATATTTATTTATAAGAACTATAAGATATATATTATATAACAGTTTTTTTCATTAATTATTTCAGGTAATTTCACTGTTTATGAAAATATTTAATAAAAATTATATAATGTCAATTAGAAAAAATTAAGTAATTATGCAAAATTAGAAAAAAAAAAGAAAACTTAAAATAACATAAGCAATGAAAAGTGCCGTTTTCGATCAAAGCAGATCTTGGTGCTTAATAATATTTCACAATATCAATTATTATTATTAAACATATTTCTCAGTTTTTTAAATTGCGTGCCAATATGGACTTTGTTGGACTTAAACCGCAATTGTGTAAACTGAAGCTAGAAATAATATCTTATATTAATTTCATTGTCAAGTAAAATAATATACTAGAAGAATATTTATAACAGTTATACAAACTTATGGATAGAGTATATGTTCATATATGATTATCTTTAACTTTATAAATATACTTTTACATGATCAGACATGATAATAGACAAGCATATAAGACCATATATGGCTATGCAAGATTAATAAGAGGTTTTATTTCGACTCAATTGGCTATTATATAAAGTTGACACAAACGTTACGACGTTTCGATCCTTGGTTCGGATCCTTATCAAGCAATCTAGGTAATTATGCAGTTTAGGGGAAGCACCTCCGATGACCTTGACCTTGACATATGTTGTCAAGGTCACCCTCCTGAGTGACCTTCAGAAGGTTTTAGCCGTCGCTCGTTTTTTATTAAAAAGTTATTAACAAAAAAAAGTTTGGCGACCTCACCGATTTCAATGACCTTGATATATGTTGTCAAGGTCATGCCCCCGAGTGACCTTCAGAAGGTTTTAGCCGTCGCTTGCTATTCGTTAAAAAGTTATTAACAAAAAAAGTTTGGAAAATATAGCATATATAGGTTAGTTGACGCGCTTTAAACACTTTAATACTTTTAAAGCGCGTCAACTAACCTACGTAGGTTAGTGATCAACGATTTACTGCTTTAAATGTTGTGTTTTGGTAAAGCAGCGACTTTTTCGCAAAATAAAGTATTTTCTGCTTTAACAAAAAGACTTCAATTTATCAACAATTTACTGCTTTAAATGTTGTGTTTTGGTAAAGCAGCGACTTTCTCGCGAAATAAAGTATTCTCTGTTTTAAAGAAAAACGTAATATTAGTCGTTTATGCCTCTCGGTATTTAAAATAACTTCTATATTTTCGAACCTTTTTTTGTTTATAACTTTTTAATAAAAAACGAGCGACGGCTAAAACCTTCTGAAGGTCACTCAGGAGGGTGACCTTGACAACATATGTCAAGGTCATCGGAGGTGCTTCCCCTAAACTGCATAATTACCGCAATCTACAAAGCAATTTGGTCTAAGGTCATAATTAATGTCATATTTTAAAATTAACGGAGCAAAGTTAAAAACAAAGTAATACCTACTAATAAAAGAGAATCATCACTCTCACATTAAACCCACGAAGATTTTTGCCGAAAAAATCATAAATGTAAGATGTAGAATGTCGATGGTAGTGACTTGAATTGATGCAGTGTAAATGCAAAAATTAAAACCATTCTGTCGTTGTAAGAAGTGGCGCACGTATTGTCGAAGCGAGCATGTTCATGCGACTAACATTGAAAATAAACGGACGGGATTTAATAAGTAGGTGCCACGACCGGTGGCCCGACGACAAATGATCCGCGACACTTGAACCACGACAAATGAACCGTACGACAATTGGTCCAACGACGAAATAACCGAGGATAAAATAGCCGTAGGACAATCGAACCGAGGGACAAGTGATCCTGTCGGGGGGCATTACATGTAAGTCAGAACGTACGTGCACGAGGGCACTACATGTAAAGCCAGCGGCACACGGAGCATGTTTTCGTAAATAGTAATGTACTAGATCGCAAGCAATCGAGAAGGAAAACATGCACCGTGTGCCAGTGGCCTAATGTCAAACGTACGCGCACGAGGCTACCGTTGGTCGGATTGTACCAACCGGCACGAGCATCGGTCGTATCACAGCTAGAAATATACCTAAAAAATATATAAAATGCCGTTAAAATTTATTACATCACAGCGTGGTGCTTTAATGTTACTACATAACGGATACTTGTACAACAAAAAAAGTGTGAACAAGCTGAATATAACTTGGCGTTGCGCTGAGTACCGGAAGAGGTTATGTAGCGCTGTAATTCACACAACAAGCGATAAACGATCTGGTATGTAACACGCGTCAAATTATTCAAGCCTCAACATTGTCATGCAGTTAACTACGTTTATCATCCCCACAATTAATCCACGTGTTCAATATAGGTGAAATTGTTGGTGATTCACCCGCACACAATCATGCTGCTGATGTTGCACAGGTCGAAGCCAGGAAGGTTAAAGAGAAACTGAAGAAGAAGGCGAGCAAGGGTTGTCAGAATAACAGTGTAATGATTGCCAAGGTATTGAGTAAAGTGTTATCGCCAGTCCGTGTGCAGCTACCACCAATTACATCATTGACACGCACCGTTCAACGGGCCAGAAAGAATGACGAAGCTGTCATAGTAAACCCGAAGACACTGCAAGAACTGGTTATACCAAATATGTACCGGATGACTAACGATGACGAGCTATTTCTGTTGCATGATAGCGAGGGTGGTGCAGACCGTGTCGTCATATATGCTACCGCTAAAAACCTGGAGCTGTTGGCAGAATGCGAGATGTGGTGTTGCGATGGCACGTTTAACTCAGTGCCTCTTATTTTTAAGCAATTATACACCATTCACGGATTGTATCGCGATAAATTGTTACCGTTAGTGTACATACTTGCACCCAATAAGTCCGAGAAACTGTATTCATCCGCGTTGTCTGTTATCAAACGCCACCAACCAAATTTAAAGCCAAAAAGAGTAATGGTGGATTATGAGCGTGCGTTTATTGTTGCCTTCAGGAGCAAATTTACTGACTGTGCTATTTCTGGTTGCCTTTTCCACTTCAGTCAGTGTATATGGCGTCATGTGCAATCATGTGGTCTACAGTACAATTATAATTCAGACCTGAGGTTTTGTTTAAACATTAAAATGCTTATGGCCTTAGCATTTGTTCCTGTGCATGATGTACTTGAGGCATATGATGAGCTCATTGTATCTCCATTTTTTGAAGAAAATGAAGATGCACTAAACGAATTAATTCGATACTTTGAGCGAACCTGGGTTGGTGAACGACGCCGTACTGGCAACAAACGTAAGAAGCCGATGTTCGATTTAGGTATGTGGAACTGTCATCAAGCAGTTATCGATGGTTTTATGCGTTCGAACAATGGCGTTGAGGGCTGGCACTGCTCATTTAATAACAAAGTTCGCGTAGTGCATGCAATATTCAGCAGTTTTATGGACGCGATTAAGGGCGAGCAAGTTCTCACGGAAACAACGATTGTTCAAATGAATACAGGGGTAAATGTAGTCGCCAAAAAAAGAAAAAGGTATGCCGATAGAGACGAGCGAATCAAAAATATTGTGACCAAATATGAACCGGCTACAAAAATGAAATATCTAAAACATGTAGCGTCTGTATTGTCCGTGTAATAATTAAGCGTTAATGGTAACGAATATTTATTGTGCTACTGTTACTTTGATGTCTAAAAGATGTTACTACAAATATATATTTATTATTATTGTTCTACGGTTACCTCGATGTCCAAGATATTTCAAATATATATTGATCAACAATGAAATATGATAATCATACAGTTCTTTTACGCACATACGTTCCACGCCGAAACCTGAATTTGACGGGCGTTTAGTCGCGGATGTAATTGGTTCGGACGAATTGTCGTTCGGATCATTTTTCCTCCGGTTTTTCCGTCTTCCGATCAAATGTCGCGGATCATTTGTCTTTGGGCCACCTGTTACGACACCAATAAGTAAATTGAAGAACATCAGAAGGGGTTGTGAACATAAACATTGGTCGAACGAGAAAACAAATCAAGCGATCGCGATAACATTGTCATATATGGGATTTAAATTATCCGTGTCTTTTTGAAGATTGATTGTATCGGTCTGTCTTTTTATGAAAAATGTCTCGACTATTTCACGTTTTTTGGTGTTCTTCTCTTTATGTAGTATATCAACATTTTTAATCTAACATTAATGTGTTTATTTATGACTTCTGTGGGAAAGGAGTTATTTAAGAGAATTTTCTTAACAATGTCAACGTTAGATCTGTGGAAGCGCTTATTCGACAATAAGATTGCACGGTCAAAGAGGCTACTTATTATATTAATTTTATAATTGAACGGATGGTTGGAAAAGTAATTAATATAACAACCTGAAAAAGTCGGTTTCCTGTACCAATTAGTAATTAGCCGGTCTCCATCTCTAATAACCGTAGTATCTAAAAATGGGAGCAAGCCGTTATTTTCAATTTTGTGCGTGAATTTAAGCCGTGGATGGTAGTTATTGAAAACGTCAAGTGTATGATTTAGTTGCAATCTAGGTATTATCGATTAAGCAATTGACATTAAAGTTCAATCAACTCGTAAAATCGTGGAGCGATATTGGCGTTATTGACGATCCTACTTATTACAGGTTAAAATGTACAAACGGCAACCTTCCACGCTGCTATGGGCTCCCGAAGTTTCATAAATCAGGCTTTCCTTTACTTTATTATAGTTTTTGCAGTGTGTAGTCCAACATACAACATAGTCAGCTTTTTACATGCTATCTTGCATGATTCTTTGCGTAGACCTAAATCCTATATCAAAAATAGTTGGTCATTCGCAGGAATGATAGAGAATAAATCGATTAACACCGACCATGTACTCGTTTCACTGGATGTTACAGCACTTTTTACCAACATTCCGAAAGATCTAGGTTTAAAGGGCATTGAGGATAGATGGCACAGTATTTCTTAAAAAAAAACCGAATTCACTTTACCACAGTTTCTCTATGCTATCGACCTAATTTTAAGTTCTACTAGCTTCAGCTTTAATGGCCAGGTTTATAAACAGATTTTCGATAGCCCTATGGGCTCTCCACTCTCTGCAATCTTAGCAGATATTGTAATGGACAATTTGGAAACATATTGCCTAAATGTACTTGTTTGGCGCTCGCCTTTGTAAATAGTTTTGTCAGCGTTAGTATTAGTATTAGTATTAGGATTAGATTATCGGTACATTACCATATTTCGGTGACTCGCGCGAAACGTCGGCAGGTCACTCGGATCTCGGATCGATATCGATATTTCCGCGACTCACCAATCGGTGCTGCCCTCGCACACCCTACGAGGGCACCCGCCAAAAGGGACAAACTGCTCGCTCGCGGCACATTATAGGACTCACTCGCGAACTCACTCATCGTCAAGACGTCGTAACACGCTCATCGCTAAACGGTTTCGGGATGTACACTCCCTCGTGCACGCTTGAACTTACGGAAGGCTGAATCCGAAAGTGCGATCTCGCCTGCCTTGCTGCCTTGCCGCGCCGCTCTGCTCTGCTTGTTTCTGCCTGCCTGCTTGCTCTGCCTGTGCTCTTAGCCCGCTTGCTGAATGTGCCTGCCTAAGGACGGACGAATCCTCCACGTGACGACGGCCGACCGAAAGGTGAGTCGCTTAACAAATTTGCTTTCGTTTATTTCGTTTAATTTCGCGTCGAGGAGACGACACACACCTCCTCTGGTCCTTCGAACGATATTCAGACCAACTCGCAACCGGGGCCTCACACCCTCCCGAGACAGTACTTGACTTTAAAATTCCAATTTTTGACGTAGAACTACGTCTTTCCCGGAGGGTGAGGAGTAACTTCGGGTGCAGGACTGCAACGTTTTCTTGCAACGTTTTCTTTTTCTCGAAAAGTATTAAAGAAAAATATACTTTATTATAGTGTTTTTGAAAGCTTTCGATGTAATTTTAAAGAATTATATATAAAATAGGGGTAGAAAAAACTGAAGAATATAATAGAATTAATAAAAATTGTTTTATTTATTTTATCATTGTCTCAAAAAAAATCATCGAAAATTAAAAAAAAATGAGTTGGAATCCATCTTACATTTGACAAATCATCAACAACACTGGGTGGATCATGTATTGATATGGTGTTCATAAGACACATTAAAAATTTAAAATGCAAAAAATATATCAGTTATTTCTCATATCACAAACCAATAATGATAATAACTGAATATAATGATAATGGAAATTAAAGGTAATATTAAAAAAAGGGCAATGACAAAGATGGTACATCGTAAGGATTGGAATGGAAAAGTAAAGGTAAGTAAACATAATTAATTATATAAATTTGAAAGTAAAATAACTTAAAAAAAAAGATAATTAAATTAGTTTTTTAAAAGTAGAGAAAAAATAGATAAATTAAAAAATATAAAAAAACTTATATAAAAGGTAAGGATAAGAAAATGGAGGGGTTTTTAGTGGGTAGGCGATAGATGGTAGTATTTTATGCAATGTATCTCCATTGAATCCCACACATCCCACACCAGGAGTACGGGCTCCAGGATGTCTTGTCGCTCTAGAAGAGAGAATCGGAAGGTAATTGCCTTGGCAAGAATTAGAAGATTGTCACTTTTAGAAGGGCTTAACGAAGATTTTCCCTTCCAACGCTAATAAAAAAAAAAGGAAGGAGGACATTTTTTTGCTTATATATAACTTAAGAATTTTTTAAATTAAAGAAAAGATACACAAATATGCAAATTAACCAATTCATTATATGTTAATAATTTGAAAAATTTTTTATAAAAAAAATTTATGAACAAAAAAAATTAAACAGGCACAGTTGTTACTGTGCATCGAGTCTGTGTCCGACATCGTGCGAGAGAGAAACGTTAATTGTGCGAGAGAGAAAGGTAGTGGAGCCTAATCGTCCGCAATGCGCATACGCAGATATCGATAACCATATAGCAGACGATGTATGGCGCATGCGCATTGCGAACGATTAAGCTCCACTACCTTTCTCTCTCTTACAATTAACGTTTCTCTCTCGAAAGATGTCGGACACAGGATCGTTCCACGGGCGATATATCACGGACTCGATGCTCAATGCCTCTTCCAGTTATATATATTCTATTCTAATAGACGTAGTTCTACGTTGTGCGGCACAGTTGTTACTATGCCTGTTTTTTTGTAGATATGTGAACGACATTTTCGCGATAATACCTAGATTGCAACTAAATCATACACTTGACGTTTTCAATAACTACCATCCACGGCTTAAATTCGCGCACGAAATTGAAAATAATGGCTCGCTCCCGTTTCTAGATACTACGGTTATTAGAGATGGAGATCGGCTGTTGAGGATAGAAATCGAAATTCCGTTCGCGAGAGAGGAATTGTTGGGTGCCGTATCTCTTTTAACGGCCCTGATCGCAGAGGCTGAGATCTCGATCTGAGACAACAGCCCTGCCACGAAGCGTCGCCCAATAGTTCTTCGCTCCCGTTCAATTTATGCGAACTCATGCGAGTCATGCGCACGCGTTCATGTAATCCGCAACGCGGTTCGATCACGGATCGATACGATTCGTCCCCCTCTGTAATGCACACGGCGTCCCCGCCAAGCCATCCTCAAGCCGGACAATGATTGTCTCCGCGAAGAAGCAGAATCGTCACAGAACTCGAGCCGATAGGTCGGCAAACCGTTCGCCGTGTTACGTACGGAAATTTTATATTTCCGACAACGCACGTTAAAAGTTTTGAACGCTTAGACGACGCACGCTAGGCCCGGAATTCCGAGGAAACGGCCGGGTTAGTATAAATGTTTAGATTATCTTATCGGAGTCCGTTGAAGGGCTGGGGGCCAGATGGGCCCAAAACTACGCTTCTAGAATGTTCTAGAAGCTTCTAGAATACCTCCCCCCCTTTAGACGCATAGGAAAAAGGCGGGAATCTCGCGCGGGAGATTCCGGTCTTTTTCGGGTATAAATAGGGCGGAAAAACGCCGCGGAAAGCAGATAAGTTTTAACTTCGGTCTTGACTAGACGTAATTCTCAGACTCTCTCCTAACCTTATTCGATTTCCTACGTTCCGCTATACGCTAAGTTCGAGCATTCGCGCTCAATTCTGTGACTTAGTCCCTACACTCTCATACCTTATAAGACCGCGCTTCACGCACAAGTTGTATTAAGATTTCTAGAATAAAGGTAAGATAAGTTTAAAAAAGAACAAGTGTAAAAATCTGGAATCTCATTTCGTATTTTTAATCAATAAATCGATCACTTCTAAGATCCGACTCGCAGTTGTCGCTGACAAAGCGTGGCGATCTGTGCTGGGGCGCTGACGAAGAGTGTGGCGATCCAGTACTTTCGCTGCCGAAAGCGTGGCGATTACGGAGTTGATTCTTGGGGGTCGTAATAATCACTGTCACTTCTGGGATTCCGACTCGCAGTTTCCGCCGACAAAGCGTGGCGATCTGTGCTGGGGCGCTGACGAAGAGTGTGGCGATCCAGTACTTTCGCTGCCAAAAGCGTGGCGATTACGGAGTTGGTTCCCAGAAAAAGATAATAATTTCGACAATTCCCGAAAGTGAATTTGACCTTTACGCTGACGATCTGAGCGCTGACGAAGAGTGTGGCGAGCAGAAGGTGTGGCGGATTGGTTTTGAGCGCTGCCGAAGAGTGTGGCGAGCTTAAAATTCATTTTCGTGAACGCGGCTGAATGACGAAGAAAGAAGGTAGGCGCGTTCGTATTAAACGAATCAGATTCCAGATCAAGCAAGCAGTCATTTCTAATCAAGATCCTCTCCCTTTCCTCCAACAATTGCAACAACTAGAAAACGCACCCTCCTTTAAACCTATTCCTGTCGATTTCGACGTTGATTATCCTAATTATAACCAAATAAATAAAGCTGATCCTCGTTACCATACGTATAAACTCAGATATCTTTTCGGTCCCGAATAATAAATACAATAATAATATCCTTCACACGACTTGTCCAAATCCCTGGTAAATTGCTTAAATGCATTGACCAAAAAACGGACGAACTATAACAGTCAGAACGTGACAGCCGCGACCAGCATCCTCGATCGATCGCCGCGCGAAACGAAGGTCATACGCTCCACCAGCCGTATTCAACGGGGAAGTGGACGACCTTAGTGAGCGAGAACGTGATTCTCCTCACCGACTTGTCGAATCAAGCGCTCGTCTCTGAACGTGGCTTCTCGCCGCGAGACACCGCGAGTTCGTACACGGTACTCTCTAAGCCGTCCGCTCGGTGAGATCACACATCTCACACTGCCTATGAAGAAAAACTTTGTATTTATGCTGTAATTAAATATTATACCAACAACGAAACGATTGCTATAAATTCGTCAACACTCCTCGCCGATCTCAGGACCGCGCTTCGCGCCTTTGTCAGAGCGGACTCCGGCAAACCCTTCGTGTCCCAAGGCTTCCTTGGGTGAACACGAAACACCGGCTAATTACTAATGTAGGCGCCGAATTAATGTATTATAAGTAGATGTATTGTAGGCGCCGATTTGTGATATATGGCTCCACCTGTCGAATGAGATTGACGCGACAGGATCCGATTTAGAGTAACGCGACAGTGTGAGAAGATACTCCGAACGGTCTGCCGCGATCCGAGGGACCGAGATCGGGCTGCCGGTATTAATTAATATCCTAGTACTCGCGAGGGACTGCCGAGTCGGATTGTGTCGAGACGTAGCTATAAGTGGAGCGCACGAGATATTTGTGAAACGGAGCAAGCGGTAAAACTATGCAAATCGAGCAAATATAATAAACGGAGCAAGTGATTTTTCTGTATGTGCTGTTTGATTTATTAACAATTGCCTACACTAATTGGTACAGGAAACCGACTTTTTCAGGTCGTTATATTAATTACTTTCCCAACCATCCGTTCAATTATAAAATTAATATAATAAGTAGCCTCCTTGACCGTGCAATCTTATTGCCGAATAAGCGCTTCCACAGATCTAACGTTGACATTATTAAGAAAATTCTCTTGAATAACTTGAATAACTGTTAGATTAAAAATGTTGATATCTATACTATTATTATAAAGAGACAGAGTTTGTCGGTTTGTTTGTCCTCGATGATCTCGGAAATCAATGGACCGAATTTTTACCAAACGTATATGAAATAGGGGTAGAATTTCCCGGGAAGTGCTATAGGGTGTATAGTTTTTCGTTACCGATCTTCTGGAAACCGGTTTTTCTAATTTCTTCAATTTTTCGGGAAATGATTGACGGAATCTTAAAGAATTGTATATAAAACAGGGGTAGAATTTTATGTAGTATATAGAATTATGACACCGGGGAGTGTCATAAAGTGTATAATTTTTTGTTACCGATCTTTTTGAAAACCGGTATCCGAAATTTTTCCAATTTTTCGGGAAATAATTGATCGAATTTTAAAGAATTGTATATGTTACGGGCAATTTGATTAATCCGGTCATTATGCATAATGGCCGGGCATTATGCATAATTCCCGCTTCTTTCGGGACATTTGAATAATAAAAGCAAAAATGTTCAAATTAATCAAACTGACCGGTCATTATGCCTAATGCCCACAGACAAGTGGGAAATGTGATTAACATATTAAAATATCTTTCTAAAAAGAATGGCAGTCTGTCTATAATTTCAACTTTCTTACTTACAATGAGTTCATGCACTAAAATATTTTATATTTTGTGTTTAAACATAATTTATAATAGACAAATTAATAAATTATTTGGTAAATGTGCAGAATAGTGGCTTCCTCACCGATTTCGTTGAACTTAGGCTTAATCGACGCGTTTTTGCACAAAACAACCGAATCTGGCAGAAAAAAGTGTCGCTCTGCCCCGCGAAGCGAGATATAGGTTAGTGACGCGCTTTAAACAGTTAAATACTTTTAAAGCGCGCCATATAACCTATGTATGTTAGTGACGCGCTTTAAACAGTTAAATACTTTTAAAGCGCGTCATCTAACCTATGTAGATTAGTGACGCGCTTTAAACAGTTAACTGTACTACCTACATAGGTTAGATAACGCGCTTTAAAAGTATTTAACTGTTTAAAACGCGTCACTAACAAGCCCCTTGCACAATAGGCGATAGCGATAGCG